GCGGCTGTTTCTCCCTTCCCTGCTCCCAGTGCGGCTGTTTCTCCCTTCCCTGCTCCCGGTGCGGCTGGTTCTGCCTTGCCCGCGAACTTCTTTCAGACTTTTGTGTGCCCGCGAACTTCTTTCAGACTTGTGTCTTATTTCTCTCGTGGCAAATTAGTTTCGCTATCCCCCTCCGTCAGCGTGTTACTTTCCGAGGCTGTAGCACTATTAATAAACAAATTTGGCTTTAAATATAAGACTCATAGAGAGATGTGGCTTTAATTAACTTCCTGAGGATTTGTTGGTGCGTGAGGTGCCATGGGCTGTCCTGTTGTAGGAGCTTTGGTTACTGCGTGGGGGAATTGGCACCTTTAAGCTGCCCCAGTGCCTCTCTGGCCACACTCTTACAGGAAGGCTTGATGTGGGAATGAGTTGTTCTCATGGAGTAGAGTGCTCAGAGCTAGAATAACATTTGTTTATTCTGGTAGTATGATCACTAAATGGCCCTTAACTGTACAATCTGTCATGTGGGAAATGGTAAGAGGCAGTAAATGCTCTTAGAGGAAAGCTCTGTGCTAACTCAGCTCATCAGAGTGTTTGGGTTTTATTGATTGCTTTGCAGTGGGAAAACAGCTCCCTGTTTTTCTTCATGTGGAAAGCTCTTGCATCCTCTTCCTCAGCCACTCCCTGCTATTCTCAGCTTTAGGAGAAAAGAAAGCAATTTCCTTGCTGCTTTTTCTACTGGAAGTGAGATGTTCCACCAACAGCAGTTATGGGTCTGTTTGACAGCTGTTTGCTGTGTGTCTGTGACTGACCAAGACCACCCACACTGGTGTGGCCTGAGCAGGTGCTCACAGAGCCTCTGTGTCCCCATCCTTGTCCCTGGGGGTGCTCTGAGTCCAGCTGGAAAAGGCCATGGCCCCTGCATCCAACTTGGACATCGCCCTGCTCCCAGTGGGGACTGGGACTAGATAGTTCCTTTCATGTTTTATTGCCACTTTATAACTTGGGAGGAATTTTGGAAGCTTCTTTCCCCTCAGCTGATGAGAACTTGAGCTGCAACGGTGGAATAGAAATCCAGTGCTTCCATACAGAAAAATGGGATGGGATTTGGTACTTCCAATGGGGAAGGTAAAACTGTGTGTGTGTACAAACTTACAGGAGGATTGGGGCAAATATGATAGAGGGAATGATTTTTGTTTGGGTGTTGGGGTGTTTTTTCTTCCTCTCTGTTCTGGCAGTTAAGTTTATTAGCCAGGGAGCTGTTCTGTGCCTCCCACCTCTGCAGGGTTTCCTGAAGAGAGAAAGAGATATTAATTTGAAGCTGACTGATCTTCAAATAGTGAATAAATAAATGCAGTGTCTCAGATCTGGAGTAGATGTGTTTCTCATGCCACTTAAATGTTGTAAAAGTATTAATATAAAGCCTGCCTTCTATTTTTGGATGGTGGACTTGTTTATTTAGAGATGACTTAAATTGTATGGACTCTAGTCTGCTGGTAGGGAGTGTGTTGGCTGTAGGCATCTCATGACTAACAGGAGGAGTTTGGGTTGATACACTCAATTTCATCAGCTTTTGTTTTCCAGGTTTCTTGCATGTGACAAACAGAAAATCCCATTCTTCATTCCCATAGATGAATGTTGAGGAAGTGACACAACTTCATTAAACAGTTTTCAAACTTTCAAGTTCATCTTGAAAAGTTTCAATGTCATTCATTTTTTTTTAACCTTTACCTATGGGTGACTTTTAAACCAGAAAATCTGAATTGTGGGTTGTTTGGGGTTTTTTGTTGTTAGCTTGGTAGTGTTTGTTATGGGTTTTTTTGTTTGTTGGGGTTTTTTGGGGGGGTGAGTTTGTGCAGTGAATGTTGCTGGACTGCTTCAGCTGCTTGTAGGAATGTGGGATAAGGGAATGTGCTTGTGCCTCGTGGGGGAAGTGAGGAAGGGTACAGCATTTACCTGGGGGTGGTTGAATTCCCAGCTGTGGACCCGCCTGCTGTGGGAGCTGACATCTTCATGGGGACAAGGATGTCCTGTCTAATAGGAGTGTGGATGAGAAACTGCTTTCTGAGATTGGAAAGCTGAGATTTCATGTTTAGTAAAGTGATCCAGGTGTGGTCACTTAGCATCATTTTAGCAATACTTCCTGATGCCTCGTCCCCAGCCTCACTGAAACGTTTGGGTGCTGTTATGCAATGTTGCAGTGAGTGTTTCCTTTCTGCTTATTAAAATATTGCATAAATTTCAACACTTCTTACCAGTACATTGAAGAAATAGATATGACAACAATGGGTGTATTGATAAGCTTAAAGTTCAGGCATTTTAGTGGAAAATGAGTTTCATTTGTATCTTAGTTTGGAGTTAAACCATTAAAACCTATCTGCAAAGTAATTAGGTGTGCTGGTTTGAAAAGCAAACCGGTGAGAGACTCTGAGTCAGAAGTACAATTTAATATGAACAACACAACAGAACAACACAAATGCAACAGTGCAAAAAAAATAACCTGACAGAGTCAGAAAATAACCTGACAGAGTCAGAAAGTAACCTGACACCCTGTCAGTCAGGGTGTAGTAGTAGTCCGATTAAATGGTGGCTGCAGTCCCCCTGGAGTGATGGGTTTGTTGGAGCAGTGATCCTGCAGATCCGGTTCTCTCCTGAAGGTCCAGCAGCAGCTCTTGTCCTCTGGGAATCCAGCAGGCAAAGGGCTCCCTGTGCTGTTCCAAACCCCAGCTTATATCCCTGTGAGTATGTTTGGCTCCCCACCCCTGGGGTGAGTCACCTCACCATGGGACAAGGGATAAGGATCACTGCGAGGTTGTGTCCTGCATGGGTCCTTGACAGCCCCCTGGGGGAACCATCAGGATTGCCCTGAGGGAGGGACAAGGTGATAACGATCACTGCCCCACCTGCCTTAACAGCTTGTGGAGATGATAATAGAATACATACCATGGATACCCCCACACGGCAGCCCGGGACATTGTTTGCTACCTTTTTGGTGTTACAGAAAAGCTCAACCAAAACGCTGTGCTGTACATTTTTGCCAGACCTTTGTGTCCCACCTATTAAGATTTCTCTGGAGTGAAGTTTGCGTCAAGCAGACCCAGTTGGCTTCTAGTCTGCAAAGCTGTTAAGTTTAATCTTGTTCCAGTTTAATTTGAATGTCATGGATTGAAATGATATGCGTGGCCGTTTCTCTTTTTTGCGAAGAGTTGGATTTGGAACGAAAGCAAAATGGCTCGAGGACGCAAGAGCAATAGCATCAAACAGAGCGACTTCACTAACAGCACCAATCCTCAGGATTTAGAGAGAAGACTTTTTGTCGGCAATTTGCCCACAGACCACATGACTCGTGAAGAAATGGAAGAGATATTTTCAAAATATGGCAAAATCAGGGGTTAGTATATTATCTTATGCCTTTTTGTGGCTGGGATTTCAGTGAGAAATATCACTTTCATGCTTGTCAAATGCTGTTTGATGATGATGAGAGGAGTGACTAATGTTGTTCCTAAAAAGTGACCTTTTAATGGTAATTTTCCCTGCTTGCATTTTCTCTGAAAAAGTGATTCCTTTGGTACAGCTCAAATGTAATGTGAATGTATCAGCTTTTGGGGTCACAGTGTGCTGTTACAACGCTCTTTCAAGTGACTTCATAGCCTCTTAATCAAATCTTGGTCACTTCATGGGCTGTATTTTGGTAACTGCCTTGTCAGAAGGAAGTTGATCAGAGTCTTTGAGCTCTGCATTTTGCTCCTGGCAGATTTGATTTTTCCCAGGAAACTTACTTAGTGGATTCTGGGCAGAGCCCCTTTGGGAGTTGCCCTGGTGGGGTTAGCCACGGCCGGGGTGGGGTAGCTCTGTCTGGTTGTAACCCGTCTTGCCCTGCTGTTAACTCTTGCAGCCCTCAGCATGTACCATGGCTATGGGTTCGTGCAGTATGACCGTCTAGAAGATGTCCAGGCCGCTCTGGACGGTGAGAAGGGTCGTCTTTATAAAGGGTATAGATTAGGTAAGGAAAACTGCTCCGTGCTCTCCTCCTGACCCCAGCATGCGTTCGGGAGACAGAGCTGCTTGTGTTCTAAAGCTCTCCGGAAAGGTTGCGGTGTGAGATGTGCCTGGGGTTAGTCTCCAATTGCTTTTTCTCAGTCTGTATGTTACTGCTGTGTGCTTCACCTGCAGTGTGGTTCACCTTGCTGCCTGGGTCTTACTCTGAACTTGTGTGTATATGAGAAGCTCAGTCACCCTGTGCAACAAGTGAGCCCTGGAAAGGGATGGTTGAAACGTCTGGCACAGAGTTCATTAACATTTGTAAACTAAAACTGGGCTTCATCTTGGCATGCTCAGAGGAATTGGTCACAGCACTTAGCAGCTGGTTGGATAAGTAATCTTAACTGGGATTTTTTTGCACATGTGAAACCAGCCTGTTAAGCAGTGCTATAAATACTGGGTGCTTTAAAAAGGACATTTTCATAAAGATGAAGATAATTCTGCTAAATATGCAGGGAGCAAACTTAAACGGAAATGATGGTTAGAAATCCAAGAGTAATCTTTTAATGCAAGGGAAGAAATGACTTTGAAGTAAGCCTATGCTAATGTGACGTTCTTTGAAGAGAAACTGTTTGACTTAGAAAAGAATGAAAGGAGGAATAAATAGCAACCTGTGGGAAGGTGTGTGTACAGTAACAAATAGGAGCCTGAAGATGGAAATGAAGGCAAATAGACAGGGAGGGTAGAAGGATACAAGAGGAAGCAATGTCAATCATTGTCCAAGTGTAGAGGCTTAAATAGGACCAACTGTGGCTGTTATGGAAGGTAAGGGGTAACTGACTGGAAATGATAACATTTCTAACCAGAGAGGACCAGTTAATGTTGCTGCTCTCTGTTTTTGAAGAGGCAGAAGGTTCGTTACATTAAGTAATTTCCATTTCAGTAGCAAAACAAAAAAGGTAAAACTGCAGCTACCAAAACTAGACCTCTCAAAGGAGTTGACATCTGTGAGTCTCAGTGAAATGCAGACCTGCCTAGGCTGTTACTGGTGTTTTTCCACAAGCCTTGGAAAACTAGGGAGTTTCCAGGGACCTAGTGGAGTGCTGCAGGTGTGCCAATAGGCAGCATAAATGGGGTGAGCCTGGCATCAGCACCTGGAAAACAAAGGGTTTCTTTGACCCAGCACTCTGTGAGAAGGGAATTGATTAATGCCAATCAAAATAAGTCCTGTCAAGCTTACTCCTAGGGTCCTGCAAACTCTGTGGCTGGAAGTGGTAGTGTTGCTGTACAGATTGCTGTAAATGGTTTGATGAAATAAGAAACTAGAACAGTTAAAAACAACGATGTTAAATGGATTTCACCTGAATCTCAGTGTAGCATAGATGCAATTTCTCACTGCTTTGAGTGGTGGTCTGGAAAAAAGTGATTCCTGACCATACAGTGCTTTTTTTTTATGAGTGGAGAGAAAAATGCAAACCGTGCTTTAAAAACAGAGTGAAGTAAGTTTGAGCCACTGATGGTGAAAGGACTTGGACTTCTAGGCTGGATGCAGACAGACCTGAGCTTTCAGCTGAGCCAGAAGGGAAGATCAGCAACCAGCCAGAGTGTTTTGGTTGCCCTTGGCTGTGCAAAACACAGCTGTGCAAGTAGGGAGGTTTTGGTACCTGTGGGGTTTTGCTGCTGCAATATTGTGCTCAGTTCTGGTATACTTGGTTCAAAAGAGGATAGTGCTGAACTGGAGAAGCCTTGGAAAACCTTGGCAAAGGTTTAGCGTTAAAGAAGGAGCCCTAGCAAAAGCCTCAGCAGAAAGGAGTGATGTGATCTGTGTGTGTACAGACCTGGAGTTTTAATCTAGTATGCATAGATGTGGCAGTTCCTTAAATGGGAATAGTTTTCTTTAACAGCAGAGTCATTGGCTTTCGGAGTAACTTATTGGAGCTGTGGTGGTTCCTGTGCCTGGAAGACTTTTAAATTAGAATTGGATGTTTTGCTAAAAGATAAGCTCTAGTTCAATGCCACTGCTGCACTTGAGATAGGAGTGTGATTCCAGAAACTCTTGTCACCTGTGTTTGTTCAGAAGGTTACACTGTGTGATTACAGTGGCCCTGTCATCTCAAAATCCTATAGGACAGAAGACTTTTTGTTTGGGGTTTTTTCCTGAAGTTTTGTCAGTGTTCAAATACTTAACCTGTAAATGCTGTTGGCATTAAATAAAATGTGATTAAATCTGTTCACTTTGCACAAGAGAAGGATCCCTGTCAAAGTTTTGGGGTGTTTTTTTTCTTCTAGTAAAATATTTTTGTGGGATTTAAATACTTTTTTTTAATCTGAAAGTAATGTATGGTATTGAGTGTAAAATCATAATAGGTTTCTGCAATGGCATCTTAAAATGGAAAATAAAAATAATCTTAAACCAAAGAAAGCAGCTAGTGTCTTGCTTAAAGATAACACTTTAAGGGGAAAAATTAACAACTAAAAATAAATGAAAGAGTAACAGTTACTTCAGTTACCAGTCTGAGTATTAACTATAATTGGTAATAACACAGTAAGGTAAAAGGCTTTGGGAGAGTTTGACTCCAGTGTAGTGTTCTACAAGTGTTTCCACAAATGCAAATAAGTGTTTTCATATCTTTAATGGTAAAACTATGCAGAGAATAAATGTCCTTCAGCTGTAGTTTCAGTAGACCCTGCAGCTGTGTTTGATCCTGGAGAGATGCTCTGGGGTCCTGTGGGTGCTGTTACGCTGCCGTTGTAGTTGAGGTTCAGATGGCACTTGCTTCTCTCCTCCCACAGAAAGGGAACACACTGCTGCTCGATTGACAACAAGAGCAAAAGTTAGACCCGATTCCTTAATTCTAATTTTCATCTTGAAAATAACGAAGGACAGTTTGGGAAGTTACAGAAGATACTAAGCCTGAGTCTGCCTAACGACATTGTGGCGTGTTTATTCTCTTGCAAGAGCTTTGAAAGTAGTTAATGTAAATAAGTCAAGAAATACTAATTGTTGATAGATTCTGAGGGAGCAGATAGGGCCTAGGTTTGTTTTGTTCTTTTCCTTAAAAGGCTCTCAGTGAAGCTTCCAAAGTCACTCTGTTTGCTCTTGCCCCAGTCCAGTACATTATTTCATCTCCAGTCAGCTGTCATGGGAGGCCTTGTTTCTTCGCAGCAGGACAGTGTGGGTCCCTGCCAGTTCTGGGCAACTTCACTTTTCCTGGTTGAGGATAAGACTCTGTTTCTTTATCTCTCTTACTTCTTTATGTTTCACCTCCATGGTGTTTTTCATGGAGGTGCTCCAAAGCCAGCCAGTTTTCAAATTTCTGATCTGTTGCCTCAGTTTGCATCATGTTAATAGTGGTGCTTTGAATGCACCATGTTGACTTCATAAGGAGCTTGTGCTCCAGGCTCCTGGATCCTGTGTCTCAGTGGTGGGGGCTGTGCACCTTAACGCTGCAGCAGTCCCTTGGAAGGCAGTTGCATGTGCCACTTGAGAGCCCTTGGATTGTTTTTGACAAGGGTAGCAGCATGCTCTGTTGAGCGGGACTGGCTGTGAACTTAAGACTGTGTTGGCCGTCATTCCTTTCTCGGAGGTTTTCAGGCTCTGCTTTTTCTCCTAGAGTCCATGAGTCGTTTTCTGCTTGCTCATAGACTGCAGAAGAAAGAGGTTTTGTTAGGGAATGAAGAGTCTGGATGTAGGCCTGAACATACAGGGTTAAAACTTCACCCAAGCTGTCCACCCTATTCTGAATTTGGAGAAATCCATGAAATTTTCCTTATGTTGTACTATCTAAAATTAATAAAAAATTGTCAAAGTGACAATGTCTCTCTGCTGAATGGATTTTCTTGCACCATCTGGGTGTTGTTGAGCTTAAGTTGCTTTCATTTGAATTGTGCTGATGATCTTTTTTTTGTTTCATAGCATTGAACAGATGGGTTGATTATTCTTTACAGATATTAATAAAGCAGTGGAAAGAAGAAATATGAATAAGGCTTCATCAAGGTCCAGTCCACCACGAAGGTAAAGTACCTGGAAGCAGTGAGTTATAGTAGGAGGTCAGGCCCTCGGGGCACGAGCCCAGCGGCCTGTGCTAAATGTCTGTGTCTCTTCCCTACCACCACCTCCCCAGCCCAGCAGAGATGCTCCAGAGAGACAGTCAGGACGTGGCTGCTTCACCTTGAGAGCCCTTCTGGCTCTGACACCTTGGGAAGCACGAGGGAAACCTCGTGTCTGCTGTTACTGCAGCTAAGCGTTAGGTTTTGCAGCACAGGCTGTAAGAGATTTATGAGGAAGAGTACACTTCATGTTTGCTCCTGCCTCCAGGATCAGAGAAGCCAAAGCATATCTAGAGAACACCAAGGGGCTGCAAAGGACTTTGGGGTCTTTCCTCTTCTGATGCTGAAAGCTTTCAGTGCTGAAATGAGACTGGGAAACAGCGCTTGAACAAAGCACAAGGCAGAGCAAACATCTCTTGCACAGTCCTGTCTGCGTGTGTGCTCGTGTTGGCAGTGCCTGGAGCCAGCCCTCTCTGTCACTGGCAGTCAGTGACATGTACCCTCCAGCTTCTCCTGTTTCCCACCCCTTGGTGGGCACAGCACCTGCAGCTCCTGCACCTCCTCTGTGTGGGAAGTCACCAGCAAGGGGAGAAGACTCAAGCTGACCTGTCAGAGGAAGACAACTTCAGTTTCCTTTCCACGGCACTCCTCAGGAGTGCATGAAGATGTGCTGTGGTGTAGTTTGGTGTAAGGCTTCCACCCTGAGTGCCTGTACTGTAAAGCTTTCCACACAAAGGAGAGGTGCTTGTTGGGCTTGAAGATAATCAAGCTCCCATGTGTCTTGTGTGCGCTGCTAACTTGACCTGGTCAATTACCAAAACTGAGGAAAAAGCACAACTAACAAGATATGTACACCAAAAAAAATGAAGAGCATAGAGAATGAGTAGCTGTAATTCTTGGCACCATCTAGGTTTTTTATATGCTGCACTTACCCTGCACAGGGCCAAATGCACAAGCATAGGCCAGTGCATGGGTGTCAGGCCTGGAAGGTGCTTTGGGCACACAGCTGGGGTTCCCGTGCCAGATGAAGCAAGCCTTGGGCCCAGTAGTGTCAGATGTGCTCAATGCTGGTATGAGGACCCTGAGAGCACACAAGCAGCAGGTGCTGATAGCACATCTTTGCCCTTGGTGCCACCGACGGCACCACACAGCACTGCAGGGTGAGGGGCAGGTGCCCGTGCCGTGAGCGTCGGTCCTTGGACCGCGCTGCAGAGGGACAAGCAGCAGGCACCGATGCCATGGGCATCGGGAACCTGTGTCATCCTGTGTGCCTGCAAGAGCAGACGCACATATCGCAGCCCTGAGGAGCACTGGAGGTGTGAGCTGTGGTGCTTTGGGCACCAGACTGGGCTGGACTGCTGCCACAGCGGCTTAGGTGCCGCTGTGACAGGCACTGGATTCCAGCTGGCACTGCAGACACTGCGGCCATCCCCTGTGGCTAGCACTGGGTCCCAAGCAGCACCATGGCCATGAGGTCACGGTCATCAAACCCCAGGCATGGCTGTGATGATGGACTGTGGACCACGTTGTGACCTGGGAAGAACAGCTGCTGCTGACAGGGTGCAGAGCCCTGCACTGCTCCAGCGGTACAGAGTCCTGAGCAAGCGCAGGCAGCCAGTGACACCACTGCAGGAGTCAGACTGTGGTGACTGAGGTGTGGAAGCAGACAGTGCAGTGCATTTGTGCTGCTGCCTCCCCTGAGCAGGGCAGCCACGCGGGGGCAAGAGCAGAAAGGACCTACCTGTGCCACGTCTCTACTTCTGTCGCAGTTGTGCTTTGTTTGTTCTGGATCTTTTTGTCTCTGCGGATAACAAATGTGGCCTGTTCTGGTCACCCCCACTCCAGCTGGAATAAATGTCATATGCCAAACAATTCCCCTGCATCTGGCTGTTTTGCTAAATAGTCTTACAGCTATGGAATGATGAGTTACTCAACATCCATTAGAGCAAGTCAGAAGTTTCCCCTGAGCTTCTGCCATTGTTCATTGCAGGTCTGGGGGGAAGGGGACCATGATATGTCTCTCATGGGATGTGGTTTCAATGCAAATCACAAACAAAGAGCAGATTTGCATGTCCAAGAGGCTGAGGGAGTTTATATTTGTTTATCTGCAAATACAGTGTGTCTCTTACCGGAGAAGGCTACTTTTGCTCTTGGTGGCAGCTCTGTAGCTTGTCTCAAGATCTGGTTTGTATCTGCCATGTAAACAGAGAACATCACCATTCCTGTGTGTCCCCAGCACAGCTGGGTGTCTGACACCAAAGTCCATGCACAGGCTCTGCTCATCCATCTCATTACTGCCCACTCTGCTGACACTGAACTTGGGCACATCTGACTCTGTTCTCTCCCAGTGACCACTATGTGACTGCACTGTAGTGGACACAGACTTCTGTTTGTTTTCATGAACTAGATTAGGCTGGTTGAGGACTGTAAAAGTCTGTCAAGTTTGGGAAATAAAAAGATTGAAAAAGCTGGGTTTTTCCTGATGGTTGTTGGTATTTTGGGGAAAAAACATTCCAAACACATGAAACTCAGCAGTTTCTCTGCAAGATTTTTTTAATGTTTGGCTTTGACTACAGTGAAATTATGTTTTTTTCTGGAAAACAATATGACCTGGAAAAAACCGTACTGTCTGGGAAAAGATCAAGACTGGAACATTATTTTTCCTTGCCTCTGAAGACAGTGCAGTACAAAGTCTGAATGAGATGGATCATTCAGATCCAACAGAGAAGCCTCTTGCAGCAGCTGAGGATGTGGTTCTGGTTGGGTTTAGTACCCTCTTAACATGGGGCATCATAAACACAAGACTGGCTTTCTACAGAAACGATCCTTCAAATCCAGGACACGGCAGTACCTGTCATTGCTTTCTGTCAGCAGCACAAACCCAACCACAGTGTGAAACCTGCAGTGTCTTTGGTCACCACAAGCTCCTTTTTTAATCATATGACAGTACATTATTTCAGGTGTTCTGCTGTCATGGACAAGTGAATTCAATGGATCCCTTGAACACTCCTGGCTATCTCCTATTTGTGGGTATTAGCCTACATCACCCTGAATTCTCTCGAAGAATTTGCACAACGTGTTTGATTGATGATCTGTGGCTGACATTGGAGGACAGAGGCCTTGAAATGGTTTCTGAGGTGCCTGTTCACGTCTTCCACAGATGCTCTACACTTCTAGTGATGCTCCATTAAGGAGTTTTCTGGGTCTTGTTTGGCTATGATGAACGTTAGCATTAAGAGCCTTCTCCAGACTCCTTCAAAAATACAATTTTTGGGCAACTTTTGCTGTTTTGGGATAGGAGGGAGGATTCGGCTGCTGAGAGAAGTGTGGCTTTGGCACCTCAGGTAAGAGATCTAGGGGTAACTGTACTCGTGTGGTTAGCAGGCTAACGGAATTTCCCTGGTGTTTTCCTCAGAGAGCCATATGCCTACGGGGATGGCCGAGATGCCAGGCGCGACCGCTCCCCTCTTCGGGGGAGCCCACGGAGAGACCCCAGGGATGGCAGGAACGGGCGAGATGCCAGAGACGCTCGAGACATTCGAGCTCGGGACATGCGTGACACCAGAGACCACAGGGACCCGCGGGACCTGCGGGACCCGCGGGACATCAGGGATCCGAGGGACTTGCGGGACCCGCGTGATGTTAGAGATCTTCGCGACCCACGGGAGCCGCTGTACGACCGCTACAGGGATCCGCGGGATATGAGAAACCCACGGGATGTGAGGGATCCGCGGGATATGAGGGACCCAATGTACAGGTAATCCCTGTGAGATTGCGTTTGCCAACACCTTTTTATGGTGTTTCTGCTGCGATGGCTGTGCTGGTTTGAGTGGTGGGGACAGTTGGGTGCCTACTTTGTGTCCCATGAGAGAGGGTGGGTACATCAAAATGAAACTTGGGGAAGGTGTGTGTGTGCATTGGCCAAAGTCACTTCCTTAGATGGTGCTGGAGCACAGAAACCTTTAGTGCTTCTGTGAATGTTGCAGACGAGATGAAGCTTACGACCGTTACCTGCGCATTGAGGACTACTACAGGCGCAAGGACGACTCGTACTACGACCGCTACAAAGAGCATTTTGACAGACCACCGGTGAATTCAGATGGTGAGTACCTGTAGAACTCTAATAGGAGGGTGCTGGGGTGCTACAGTGCAGAGCTTGTGGCGTTCTGTGCCCCTCTGAGCAGGTCTAAAGGGTTCTTCTTCCTCTTCTGTCCCTGTGGCTTGTTTCAGACCGCCTGAAGCGCGAGGAGCGGCGCCGGGAGGAGCTGTACCGTCAGTACTACGAGGAGATCAAGAGACGTTTTGATGCAGAGAGACCTGTGGATTGTTCTGTGATAGTGGTGAACAAACAGACAAAGTAAGAGATCAGTTATAACCATTTTTTATTGCATGATGGAAGAGAATGGATTTAAACTTAGTCCTGCCTCGAGGCTGTTTGTCTTACGGGTTGCTCTTGAGGAACATGGCTTTACAGTCCTCAGCTACAGCTCCTGTTGCTCTTCTGGCAATAGATGTTGATGAGATGGGAAAGTTGTATCTTGTGCTTCGCTTTTATTTCCCCCTTGTTGCCTATGGCTGTACCTTCTCCTGATACTCTTCTACCTACTCTTCATACCAGCCTACTGTCGTGACAGGTTGTAGGGGCCTGCACTTAATATTCCTGGGTTAGCATGATATGGCACTTGTGAGTATGTGCCACCCAGCTGATAGTACAGGGGTCAGGGTGGATTGGAGAGTGCTCGTTCTGCCAGGTTGGTTCCTAGGCCAGACACCAGTCATTGCTGTTAGTCTAGTATACAAGAAATACAAATCACTGCTGAAAGCAGTTGTGGATGGTATAAAAAGCAGGTGTAAGTAGTAACCAGGATGATCTCATAGGGCAGTCTGAGTACTTAATGAGGTCACGGGGCGGGTGCAGTGTCAGGAACAGGGAGTACACCTGGCACAGTAGGAGGGGGCTGTAGAGACCAGTCTGATGTCTGTATCTTTACATTTAAATATACTAAAGAATAGCAAATATGGAAATAAATCATAGATCTGGCTTGGAGTCTGAAGAAAATGTTTTTCAGGGGGAAAGTTAAAACTCTGTCTCCTTAGCCCTTTGGAGAAAAGATAAAGAGTTGCTTTTCTTTAACTTTGCTCTACCTGTGGGGCAGAAGGAGATAGCTGACGCTCGCCTCATCTGCTGCTAGAACAGAGCAGGAAACGGGAACAGGGGAAGCAGAGAAACTGCAAATAAACTTCTGTGGTTTGCTTCTAATGGAGTTAATTACCTATTGGAAGAAATCTTAAGAGGAAATTTTAGATCTTTTATCCCTTGGTGGCTAAAAATCTTTGGAAGATACTCTAATAGACCACAAATTATTGTGATGGATGCAAGAAGAATTTTTTTGTGCCAAAGGATCAGCTTTGGTCTGTAATGACTACAAACCTTAAGAGCTGGAGATGTTAGTAACTTGGGTATTAAAGCATTGATGTCAGCTGTGACAGACCTCTTGAAAAGTGACTCCTGAATGCCTTAGATACACAGTTGTTGTACTTGGAAACCCTTCAAAATACAGTTGGTTGGAGAAGGGACAGTTTAGTCACCATTACAGTGTTTGCCTCCAAAGACAATAAATTGACCTTCTTTCCCAAGGTATGGGTGCATGCAGACTGAATTTCTGAGCCTGCATGTGCAGCCAGTATTGCAGTCTTGGTACTGAGGATAGTAAGCTTAAAAAAACCCTTGGCAGTTTTAAGCTCATCCTTGCAAGCTGTGGTTTGTGCTTGGAAGGGGAAATCTGCAGGACAGGGGACAGAGGAGCAGTGGATCCAGAGGTGCTGTGTTGACCATGGGTTAGAGCAGAAAGTAGCTAGTAGAAGAGAGTGGGACAGTAAGGGATGAGGCATGTTTGACCAGTTGAGAGGCTGAACAGTACAAGAGTAACTGAGTTCTGTAGATTGGCTGCTCAGCCATGTGCCCCTTGGACCTCAGCAAGCATAAATTTCCTCCCTTAATGAGTTCAGTGTAAACATGTTTATATGTAAACAAATTTATAGTGGCAAAAATCCCTTTGCAAACACTCTTGTTTCTCAGCTCAGCTAATGCTTGGTTTGTAATTTATTTCGGTTAAACTGAAATGAGTGATTCAGATCAGAATAAAGGCTTTTATAATGCTGTAATGGGATTGCTTTAGTACTGTTCTGGTAAACATCGGGAAGTTTGGCAAGTCATCAGAAAAGCGAATCCGAGATGGTGGAGAGGGTGAATGTGCCAGGGGTTCTGTTTCTGTATGTGACTGACTTGTTAAACTGCTGGCTTTGCTTTGTGGTAGGGAGTACGCGGAGTCAGTGGGGCGGAAGGTGCGGGATCTGGGCATGGTAGTGGACCTGATCTTCCTCAACACAGAGATGTCACTGACGCAAGCCCTGGACGATGTGAGCAGAGGAGGGTCTCCTTTTGCCATTGTCATCACCCAGCAGCATCAAGTTCACCGCTCTTGCACTGTTAACATCATGTTTGGCACCCCACAAGGTACTGAGGTCTCAGTAGTCTCAGAGCTGTGTGGTCACTCTGAACCTTTCTTTCAAGCAGAATCCCACAGGACAAAGTTCATCCTTGCGTGTCACGGAAGTAGTTATTAATGACTTGACACTATGTCATAAATGTGAATAGCATTATTTAGAAGCTTCCATAATGCTTTATTTGCCTCTTGTCATAAGGACTGTCTTAATTCCTGCCAAGAGGGAATCTGAGCTGTGTTCTTGGCACCTAACACCACCAGCCTTCATGTCTCAGGGCAAGTCACAGACCCCAGTGCTAGAAATGGCTGGGAGATTTCTGAGTAATACCAGCCCATTGGTATCAGTCTATCCCTTGTTTCTCTCAAAGAGAGCCTGTTTGGAATGTGACAAATTACAGGACAGATTTTAAAACCAAATGTGATTTAATAAAGGTTTGGTCAATGCAGAGATCTGTTCATGAAACTGGGAAGAGTTATAAAAAGATAGAGCTATGAAGTAATTGGGTATATATGCTCCACTGTTTTAGCACCATTTACACTTGTCGCATCACTTTCCATCTCGGGGTGTGACTTGGTTGTTGCATGAGGGTGGGTGTAGGTATTAAAAATGCCTTTTCAGAATGTGATCTGGGAAAGCAGTCTTTGCTCTCATCATAGGCCTCTTCATGTGCTCTGTCTACACAAGTGACTGGTTTGATTGCAGTTGAGCTCTCAGAGGTTATTTCTCCCTTATTGTGTTTCCAGGTAATGTTCTGTGAGTTCATCAGGGTGAGGAAGTGTCTGAGTGCACAGTCACTGGTCTGTGTGTGCTCACTGACTGGAGAAACTCAGTTTCTTGTAACATCAGATGCAGATGTGATAGGAGTGTTCCCTCACATCCTGCAGAAACACAACTCACAGGCACTGTCACTGGACTTTCCTCTGCTCTTGGTTTTAACTCTTAACTCCTTTGGTTTAACACCTGTTAAACCTTTGGCAGGAGGCCAAAGCTGCTTTTCTGCACTGGATCTGCTGTTGTATCAGATCTGATAGAAACCCCAGTCATTAGCTCACGTATAGCTCTTTCCAGAGATTAAGTATGCTCACTTGCACCCACCTTTCCCTGCACATTACATTCAGGGAACTCTGTCACAACCTGTGCAAAACCTAACATTAAAATGAACCCCAGTTTCCTGTTAGGAGGAAAAGGCTGGCAGGATTTGATGTTCAGCA